GCGTCTTTATTTCACTGCTAATCAGGTGTCCCTACCCTGTACCTGCCCAGCCCCTCACCCAGATGAGAGGCGGTGGAGGACCCTCTCCCCCACCAAAAGGCTCTGCCAGGAGCTTCGCCAGCCCTAGAAAACCTCCAGTGATAAATTATGCAGCAGCACCTTTGTGCTGCCTCTCTGCCAGATGGGAGGTTTGCTCCCAGGCTTTTGTTTCCGGCTTTGCTCGCAACTCCAATCCTCCCGGCTCTGCACAGAGGTGAGGGGGGAGCTCCGGTGGGCTGTGTCTGGGCTTGCAGCAAGTCCCCGGTGAGGCTTTCTTCAGCTGGGGCTCGGGCAGCGCCCTTCCCCTCCTCACTCTAACCTGAACGAGCAGGGGAGCAGGATGTCAGGGCAGCTGGCGGGCGATCCACTCAGCTGTGAGCGAGGATGGGAATGCCTACGTGCCGTGAAAGAATGAAGTTTGCTCGGAAGGGCGTAAAAGGTGCCCAAGGGCACCAAGGATGTTTGCTTCTTGCTAAATAAAAAATGCAGGACAGAAAATGGAGTCAAAGGACCGTCGGGAAAGCTCGAGAATCAGCTCTCTCAAACTGCTACTCTTGGTTACGGTCAACTTTCCAAAACCCCCCCCACCCCCGCCACCCCCCAAACCATCATTAGTGGCACCAACTTAAATGGAAAAAAACAAAGAGACCACAGGGGTCAAACTCGACGGGTGAAGAGGCTGGGGGCTGGGTCGTGGGCTTGAGACTCCAATCTATTCTCCCTGCATGCCGACAGGATTCCGGATTGAAGACAGTAGTCATGAAAGAAGGCAGCCCCACGGCGGCCCGGCCCCCCAGTTGGGGCAATTACTACCTTATGAGCTCTGGGGCCTGTCCTTTCCCAGGCCAGTGGGAGGGAGAGCCTGGAATTCTAAACGGTTCCAGCTCCAGGAGACCTCAGCCAGCACCTCTCACCCCGGGTCACAGCAACCTTAGGGCGAGATGCCTGGCTATAACCCCGACCACGGGGATGCTCTCAGAGGAAAGCCCCGCCTCCCAGGCCCTGACCCAGGAGAACTGAGGCAGAGTGAGCCTGCTAGACTCACAGCAGAGCTCCACAGACTTCTTTGCTGAAGTGTGGATAGGAGAGTAATATGCTTAAGTTTCATTAGGTGTTCAAGGCAGGAAAGAAAGGGCAAGACCTTAAAAAAAAGAGAGAGAGAGCAAAAACCAGCTGAAAATGAACGAAGGGCTGAGCCTCCATTTTAGCACATGACACTGTAGTTTAACTACTTGTTTGCCTGATTCCCATAGTCCAAAGGCAAAAACCATCTCTAATCTATTTCTGCAAGCATGCTACAAACAACCTACATTTATCTGTGGGACTCTGTGCTGAATGGCTTGAACGTACTATTATCTCATTTAATTTTTACAGGATCCTTGCATGATAGTTTATTACTATTCCAGCCCCTTCCTTACAGATATGAACCCTGAAGTTCAAGGTGATGAAGTGTTTTATATAGGATCACCAAGATGTGGTGAAGTCAAGATTCAAACTGCCTGAGCTTCTTGATCATGGAGCTGTGCATGCAGGGATTAGATTAGCACTTGACAAATGTGTGTCCAGGGAATGAATGAACAAATGAATGGGTGCAGAGCCCAGTTCAGGGAATGCTCCTGAGCGTGCTGGGAGAACACTCCCTGACCCTGTCAGCTCGAAGCTGGAAGGAGAGTGGCAAGCACAGGCATTCATCAGAGCTATTTATAGGGCCAAACCCTGGCTCTGCCAGCCAACCAGTCGGCATGAAGTCTTTCCTGGGACACTGAATCCCACCAGGCTGAGAAAGGGAGAAAGATTTCCAATACTGAAGATGAGATGGCAATCCACAGTCTGGGGTCAGATGCCCCATGTCCAGGCAACTGTGACAAAACTCGCAGCTAAACTGTGTCAAGGAATGTAGAGACCGTGGTTGGAACAGGCTAACAGACCTAGTTGGCCACGGGCATGAAATTGTCATGAAATTATGAGATGTGTCCAAACACAAAAAAAGACAAGACTACTTCTTAGTCTCCAAAATTCCTCCCTGTTCTGGAAGCCCCTAGGACTGATCCTCCCTTCAAAGGAGAAGCAACATAGCCAGCTTCTCCCATCTTCCTTCTTTTTAGGGATCAAGATTAGCAGTCAACCCATAGAAAGAGTGAGAAAGGCCTGTAAAACATCCTGTATTCTCCACCGGCCCAGAAGATGTGCAAGTCCGATGAGCTCAGTGTCAGACATGGCCTCACTGAGTCCCCTTGCACCTGTCATTCTTAATACCACGTGCCAGTCCCAAAGATGTCATCTGATACTCAACAGCGGACAGAAGAGGAAATCCAAAATCAGTGACAAGCCAGGCATCTTTCACAAGTCCAGTAAGATCAGGGACAAGGTCAACCCAGCACCGTTACAACACCAGATGGAAAGGAGACCAGTCTCAGCACCACTCTGTGTCACTCAGTCTCAGAAATAAACCCTCTGTGTACCAAAGCTTACCTGGAAGAGATCTCCAAGACAAACAGGGCTGCCACTCTTCAAACGGTAGTGGATTGTCCAAGGCCTCACCTCAACCCTCAACAGGAAGATACCCAGGGCTATTACCAGTCATCAAGTTTCCTTCCAAAAATCTTTAGGAGTGTTTACACAGGCTCGGGCCAATCCCACGGGCTCTAGGAAAAGCCCCAAGTACTAGCAGCATCCAAATAAGTGCCTTGAATTTCAGTGTCTTGAATTCATTCCGAGTGGACGTCAGATCTGTCTCACTGATTGACTACGATACACTGACTTCTCCTTGAGCCCCTGGGACATGGTGTGGGATCCTCCTGGTATTTTTGGTTGAGTGACTGCTCAGTCTCACTGGTGAGCCATGAATCTGTCCCTTCCAAGTCTCTGAGGATGGCTCAGCAGCAGGCTAGGCAAAGTTTAGATCTTGCTGCCACTGAGGGTCCTTAGGCACATACACAGAGAGCCTCCCACACCTTGACGTTTCCATTAAATATCTTGTCCTTGAAAAGCACCCAAACAGTGACCAAGAGTCCTCTATTCTTCTGTGAAGCACTGAATATACACAATTTTCTACCCTGGTTCTCAATGCAGATGTAGTGTATGCAGTTTTGACAGCTCTGGAGCAATAAAATCCTCTTGGCCAGTCTCCGCCGGGACCCTTCCAGTTCCCCTTTCCCGAGGGCAGAAGGCGACAATCTCTGCTCTGGCTTTGTTGGTATCCATTTTAGCCCTTCCCCCCCCCCCCCCCTTCAGTGCCTGCCATTTCCCTTGATCTTTTTCAAAACTTCCTCCAGGGGGCCGGGAGGAAAGCTCCCTCCTCTTGCCTTGCAGCCCGAAGGGGAAAAGCCCCCAAAAAGCATAGCTGTCCCTTTAAGGGGCCCATGTGGTGGGAAGAGCAGCTACATTCCTACCCTAGTAGGGCCGCTGTCCCGACACGCCAAAGAGGCTACAAATAACCTTCGAGGAGAGAACCCGGGAGGGGGAGAAGACAGTCCAGAGAGGAACGTGGGTCGGCCGGGCTACTACTCCGAAAGGAAGAGTTAAGTGCTCGGTGGGGTTAGTGTGGGCATGGAAAAAGTCATTGAAAACCCACGGGTTGTCTAAATAACAGACAGAGAACTCTGTTTTGGATTTGGGAAGTAAACCAATCTTTAAAACAAGTGCTCAGGCATCTCCACGCCCTGCCAGGCAAGTTCCGAAATCTGCACTATTTCCACACGCGCTCCCTTTACGTTAAAGAAAGAATCGCTAGGAGGCCGTGGTCTCCAGTCCCCATTACTCTAAACCCCGTCCAGCGCCTCATCCCGGCGGTGGTGGGGGAGAATGGGAAGACTCAGATTCCACCACCGCCCCCCCCCCCACACCCCCCACACTTCGGTTGAACAGAGGTGGGTGAATAGGGTTGGGGTTCAAAGATCAAAGTTCTTTGATCTTCGGGCACCAACTAGAGGCAGCAGCTAAATCACAGGGTGCACCCACGGTCGTAGCCGGCTGCCGAGAAACAGATTCCACCGGAGCCGTCAACGCACACAACAGTTGCGTTCGGGCACCAAACAAGTTATTAATAAGGAGCAGATGAAGCAGCAGTCTTCTTGCCATCTCTCCAGCTCCCCCGAGGGCCACCGCGCGGGCCGGGGGGTGGGGTGGGGGCTGCCTGGTGAGGTTCGGCGACACCCGCCCCCCTGTCCCAGCCAGGACGGATCTGCGGGAGACTTCCAGCAGTTTCTTCCCTCTGTCCCCCCTCTGACCCCCTTTCCCCCTCCCCCTCCGCCGGGAAGGACGCAGGGCAGAAAACTGGGAACCCAAAACACCACTAAGTGGGGATGCTGCGAGCGAGCAGTGCCCAAGGACCCTCGGCGGGAGCGTGGTCCGGAGCCCGCGCAACTGCTCCCCGAATCGGGAGGAATCCCCTGAGCTCAAGTATTCAGATTCCACTAGAGCCTCCCTTTGCAATCCTCCCGAGACCCCCTCCACCCCGGACCCTGGAAGGAGGACTATTTACAATTTGTGCTTTAGCGACCGTCCTTCCCCGCCTCCCTTTCTTCGCACACATTCATTCGCACCAAGGACACAGAGGCCGTGGGTCAACCCGAAACGGGAAGCACCCAGCTCTTCAAAGAGCAGCGAGGGAAGGAGGGGGCGAGCGCCTCGGGTCTCCCTCCGACCCCCACCCCCACGCCCCTCCACCCCCCTCCACCCAGCCTGACCCAGACCCGAGCCCGAGGAGCTCCTCGGTTGCCGCTGCCCCATCTCGGGCTGGAGGAGTCGGGGGCGGGAGTGGGGGGGTGGGGTGGAGAGCTCCCGGTCCCCTTCCCCGGCACGCGATCTCCGGGTGAACTGCTTGGAGTGAGAGGGCGAGGGGCTCCCAGGCCCCAGCCCGCGCCGTTCCGCTCTCGGAAGGTTGAGTCCTGCAGCGGCCGGAGCCCGGGGACAAACTTTCCCGGCTGGCGGGTGCGCGCGAGCGCGGCGGCGCCGCTTACCGTGTGCGCAGAGCAGGGCTCCAAGCAGCAGCGCGCCGCACGGCCGCCTCATGGTGCCGCCGCCGGCGCTCCCTGCCGGCCCGGGGGTCCCGCCGGCTCCCGCGGGACGGCGCGCCGGAGGGTGTCGGCGGAGGCTCCCCCCCAGGGGCCGCGTCCCGGTACACGGCGGCGGCGCGCCCCGCCAGTCGCCCTCCGGCTTGCTGCTGCCTACAGTGCGGGCCGAGCCGAAGCCGCCCCGCCAGGGGACCGGGAGGGGGGTGTCCCGGGCCCTGCCGCCCCGCCCCCAGCGCCGCAGCCCCCGCCACCGCCACCGCGCCTGGTCCCGCCCCCCGCGCCGGCCCGGCCCCTTCCCGCCCTCGGCCCCCGCCCCCTGGTCCCCGGACCCCACCCGCCGGCGCCTCCAGCGCTGGCCCAGTTCCTCTGCAAGCCGCCCCCACATTCCTAGCCCTCGAGAGAGCCCCCCCACCCACCCCACGCACTGTCCCCGTTACTACTGCTCGAATGTCCTTAACTTAAAAAAAGTGTCATCGTAGCGGCAACTCTCGGATCCCCGCTCACTCTAGTTCTGGGCCAGAGTGGTGTACCCAAGCTGACCCGAGTCGCCTGGACGTGACCCCGGCCCCGCTACCGGCCCCGAGTCCAGACTTTATTGATGTCTCAGGATACGCAAGGCTTGCTAATGCATAATCTTCTCGGGCTTCACGGACATCAAACAAGGGCCATCAGGGGGCCTGGAGTGCTGTGTCTTCACTAGCGTTCTCACTGTCAAAATTCCTTTTCTGAGATTTCTCTCCGCCCCCCCCCCTTCCCCCCCCCCGCCCGCCCACCTCGGCCCCCAGTCTAGGCAGCGTTGTTCGAGGGCTAAATAATTCCACGACCTCCCCTTTTCATGTACTCGTTTCCTGAGGTGGTTGTCTGGGTCCTGTCGCCCCAGCTCAGACGTCCAGAATTGGCCCAGACGTAGTTCCTCCTCGTTGTCTTTGTAAATCAGCTTGGTTAGCCTCTTCATCTTCTTTGACTTTCTGATCCTGGCAAGGAAGGAAGGGGGTAAGGAAGTTAAGTCTTTACTTGCAGTGGTATCCTCTCAGAGACCTCAGCCTCCTCCCAGCTCCAGTCTCTAGAGCCTTCTAGCAATATTTAACTTTGGGGTTAGTATATAAAGTTGTAAATTCCTTTCTTGTCTTCGCTTTGTGGCCTATGCCTCTCTCCAGCATATATTAACAATATGGATTAATTTTGTTACCACCTTCCATTTTCTAGGTTGTATCTTGTCCTGCTTCTTTTGTCCAAGTCCCTGACTTCCTTCAGCTCAATTCAGTTGCTCAGTCATGTCCGACTCTTTGCGACCCCATGGACTGCAGCACGCCAGGCCTCCCTGTCCATCACCAACTCCCTGAGTTTACTCAAACTCATGTGATGCCATCCATCCATCTCATCCTCTGTCGTCCCCTTCTCCTCCTGCCTTCAGTCTTTCCCAAGATCAGGGTCTTTTCCAGTGAGTCAGTTCTTTGAATGAGATGGCCAGAGTATTGGAGTTTCCTTAGGGTCCTGTATACCATCTTTCTATCCAAGCTGGTATGCCAGCAGTTTCTGCATTTGGATCATCAGCGATTTTCTTAAAACACTTTCCTCTCACTAGTAAATAGAGTCAGGAAGCCCCAAACGCCCCATATTAGCTGAGGGGAAAGTAATTTGGTACAGTGCAAAGAGAATATTAGGAGATTTCTCTAGTGGATTGGTCACCATTTCATCCTTACTTGTCTGCAATTTTTCAAAGGCTTTCACTTCAAATTACCATCTTTGACCAAAGCTAACGTTAAGTTCGCAATAGCAAGAAAGAAATGAGGTATTCACTACTTCTTAGCCAATATTTCTCTATTCTGTTTTGCCTTAAATTTTTACACAGATGAAATGTGGTTGAACTAACGTCACCATGGTAACTAACACTGAGACATTTTCTGTGTGTGTAGTTCTTCTTGCTGTCTGATGGCGGCAGTCGAGTCAGATCAGGTTTACTTGATCTTACTGCTGGGAAAACAGTCAACCTTTAAGACCTGTGTCATCTTAGCCTAAAATCCAAGGAGACACAAGTGAAACTTAGAGGCTGATTCTTAATTCCCCCTCCCCACAACATTTTTGTTGCAGCTTTCATTGATCTCAGGGTTTCAGTATAGTTGCTTATGAAGGCTTGCTTTTTGACCTATTGAGGAAGACCTCGTGATTCTGGAGGCCATATTTCTTTTCCTTCCCCACATGAAAACTGAGGACATGTGGTATAACGAATACATTTGTCCCAAAAAATCCAGAACAGGCGGTCACCATACTTTCAGTGTCAGGGGATTAAGAATTTATAAACAGTTTCCACTCTGTATTCAAAAGACAGGTTCCTTTCCAGAAGGCATGATTTGTGTTGTTTTTCTGGGGTTGAAGAGAAGCAGGGAGGCTGGCTGTCCCTCTCTGACTCAGGCTCAAGAGACTGCATTTTCTGTGTGCATCCCAAGTCCTCCTCCTCCATGGTTCGGCAGAGTTCTGGTGTTCAGAGCCGTCCCCGGCTGCTGTGAGTCACTGGGAATATCAATGGGTAGAAACGAACTTCGCGCATGGTCCCTGGCTGGGTCACCCCCTAGGGTGAGTTAAGTCTTGGCTGTCAGAAACTGCTTTTGTGCCAGGAGGGCTAAGCCATATTTATTTTTACCAGGCCTCTCAGACTTTCTTGTTTGGAGTGAGAGATCCTGAAAAGCATGCCAGAATGGGCTGTTTGTCTCCCTTTTATTGTCCTCTGGGACATGCTCCTAGGAAAGTTGTAGGGGATTGCCAATTCCAGAGGGGGTCTCAGAGGCATTGGTTTCCTCAGAAACACCACCCCTATTTCCTTCTTCCCTTCTAGGACGGACCAGGGGACTGCATTTCAAAGATCAGAATATCGCCTTGAATTAGACCATCACTAAATGGCCTTTTCAAAGGACACAGGGAGTGCTATAGAAACAAGATAGAAATGGGCATTATTTTGATCCAGTTGGGTTGGTAGAATCCTCCTCTAACCCAGGCATCATTCGACAACCTGAATTCTAAAAGTAATTCTTCTAAGAGAATAAAAGCCTTGACACTTCAAACTTTAAACCAGTGATTCTCAATCAGGATTGATTTTTGCCAACATGGGGCAATACCTGGAGACATTTTTGGAAGCAGGTATTACTGGTGAATAATGAGCAGAGGCCAATAAACAAGATATCTCTCCCCACAACAAATAATTACCCAGCCCGAAATGTTAATGGTTCTGAGGTTGAGAAACCTTGGTTAAAAAAATTAAGAACATGAGTCTGCAAAAAATTGCTCCATCGCTGGAATCACGTTCTTGTATGAATGGAGGAGGGAGATCTTAAAGCTATAGAATGGAAAACAGGAGAAAGCACAATTAAAGGAGCTGAAAGAGTCTATACCTATCTGCCCAGGGTTGGCTATTACTAGTATTAACTCACTTAGTGGCAGTATTTATTATGAGTCTCTTATGTCCCAGGCACTGTAGAAACAACGGTAACTGGATATATTCTGTCCCTGGAACTTAATGTCTGAACTGGGGAGGCTACAAGTATACAGAGGCATTAAAAGAATAATCTCATGAATGAATTCAAAGCTATAAATGCTATGGGTATTCAAGGAAATGGACAGAGACTGCTTAGATTTGGGGGTTCAGGGAAGGCCTGTCAGAGGCACTGACACTTATGCTGAGTAAGATTCGCAAGACTAAGAGTGGATGGGGTGGGTCTTCTAGGCAGAGGGAACAGTATGTATAAAGGCCCTAAGCCAGGAAAGAGTCTGTAGGGTTTACAGAAAAAGTATCAGTAACTTTTTAGCCATGGGTATGCTTCTATCTGGGCTTCCCTGGTGGCTCCGCAGTAATGAATCCGCCTATAATGCAGGAGACATGGGTTCGATCCCTGGGTGGGAAAGATCCCCTGGAGGAGGGCTTGGCAACCCATTCCAGTATTCTTACCTAGAGAGTCCCCATGGACAGAGGAGCCTGATGGGCTACAGTCCACGGGGTCCCTAGAAAGTGGAACATGACTGAGCAACTAAAAAACAACAATAGCAAATGCTTTTATCTAGGTTCAGGGAGCTACTGCTGGAGACCAGAAGAGAAGAGGTATAAAGAAATAGTCCAGTTTGTATTTCTATGCTTTCTTTAATTCCAGGCACTCCACAAAATCATTTCTAGCACCAACGCTTTTCACATTCCAGGTCAACAGTAGTATTTGAGTCAGGATCTGAGTACCACGGCTAATTCAGTTCCCTGGTGTAACTCGGGGCACATCCTGAAAAATGGGGCTTCCTAGCATATTTTAAAAAATCTCCTGAAAGCTTGATGGTCACACACGTGATACATATAAGTAGAGCTTTTGCAGCAAACGTCTCAGTACATCTTGGTAATTTCAGCAGCAAAGTTGAATTTAGAATGGTGGATAAACAAATGGACCAATGAATAAATACTCGTTGGTAACAACCGTGACTCAAACATCTCCGTAAATGGTCTGTTTCACACATGCCCCTTTATAATTCATTTTCTACACAGCAGCACAGTGACTTCCTACAAAACAAATCAGATCATGTTATCACGAGGCTAAAAACCTCCCCATGCTTCTTACTCATCATAATGGCTGTACTCAGAATAATGGCTGTAATTCTCACATGTTCTTTGAGGTCCTTCATGAGCTGGCCCCCACTTAATTCTTTGACCACCTTTCCCCTCGTTCATTCTGCGCTAGCCACACTGGCTTTCTTTCAGGTCTGCAACACGCTACCGTTTCTCACGACTTCTGCACAGGCTGTCTCCTCTGCTTAGAATACTGTTTCCCCAGACCCTTCTGTGGCCACTCTCAGCTCAGTGTCATAGCCTCAGAGCTTACCACCCTACAGGTGCCTTGTCCTTACTATTGCCTTTACCCTGTTTTATATAGGAGATTGAATAAGAATTCATGGAGATGGTGCCATTTTGCCGAAGTCTTATAGGATGTGTAAGAGTTTGCATGGGTGCATGCTCAGTCTCTTCATTCATGTCCAACTCTTTGTGACTCCATGGACTGTAGTCCACCAGGCTTCTCTGTCCATGGGATTCTCCAAGCAACAATACTAGAATGGGTTGCCATGTCCTCCTCCAGGGGATCTTCCCCCGCCCCAGGGGTTGAACCCGAGTCTCCTGCAT